GCAATGAAATCCACCCTTGTTTGCTCTCTTTGGGAAGAATAACAAAACTAGCCTCTCTCTGTACCTCACGGGGGCTATTTTTAAAACTCCCTGCACAGGCTCAGTGCAGTGCCTCGGTGCCTAAAATCCTCATTTTGAATGCACCAGGATCCCATATGGGCACCAGTTTGTTTCTCAGCAGCTCTGCTTCCCATCCAGCTCCCTGCTTGTGGCATGGGAAAACAATAGAAAGTGGCCCAAAGCCTTGGGACCCAGCACCCACAATGGGAGACCTAGAAGAAGCTCCTGGCTCCTGGCTTTGGATCAGCTCAGCTCTGGCCATTGTAGTCGCTGGGGGATGAAGCAGTGAACGGCGGATTGTTCTCTCTCTCACTCCTCCTCTCTATAAATCTGCCTTTCCAATAAAAATAAACAAAGCTTTTTAAAAAATCCCTGTGTCCTTTAGAAAAGGAACTAGAAATATTAGGTGAAGGTGAACATAGTCACTGTGTTAGGGATTTTAACATCTAGCTACATGCCCTAGGAAATTTTTGCTGATATATGTGCTAGGAATGTCATCTAAGAATGCTAACAGAGATGCTGCTTATGAGAGCAGAAGTGTGGAATTAGTCCAAATGGTTACAGACAGAAGGGCTGAAAGAAACCAATGCTCATCTAATGATACTGTGTTTGGTTATTAAAATGAACAGGCCACAAATACCACCTTTTAAATCCTTGAGCAATCCTGATAAGACAGAGGTTATCTCATTTTGTAGTCGACAGAGCCATAGTCTGGAGATCTTGCATAAATGGTTCATGGTATTGCACCAATTATCTTGTCAAAATGAGGTCATTGCCGTCCTAAGGGCTTAACTAATTAAGAATATTGTGTCCCATTAAAATTACTTATTTGTCCTGCCATGCCTGTTTTGTCTGGTGGAAGAGCTTTGTGTTTCTACCTGGTCCAGAAAACAGCTCATAGGAGGAGTCACATCAATTTTTTATCTAGGATGTAGAACATCTTTATTTTGCCTTAGAAGAAAATAGAAAGGTAGCCGAGTGTTTTTTTTGCCAGTTTCCGGGAAGGAGCACCGGAGCTCCTGATTGGTGCCTGCTCTGCTAAGCCCCCTACCATCGTAGATCTAATCTCTATATTCTTATATTTTTCCCTATTTTATTTGGAAGACAGAGGGACACAGGCAGACACCTGTGTCACCTGCTAGTTCTTTTTCCAATGAATAGCTGGACCTGAGCCAAGTCCAGTCCAGGAGGCCAAAATTCAAAACTCAAAACTGGTTCTCCCACATGGATGGCAGGGAGCCAACTACTTGAACCATGATTTGCTTTCTCCCAGACTGCAAGAACAGAAAGCTGGAAGTGGTGTTGGGAATGCACCCGGCACTCCCATATGGGGTGGGGGTGTCCCAACTGGCATGTTAACTGCTATGTGAAACGCCTGCCTCTTACCCGTGTCGCAGACAAAGCCTAGCAGAAGTAATGTGAGCATAACTTGAACTCTCAACACTTTCCCGATGGACAAGCAAAGTCATTCCCATACTTTGGAATGGCTCTGTCCAGGCTGCAGCAGCTGAAGTGCCAGCGAATCTTAATATCACTTGAAGGTCACTGGCATGATTGATGTCTGGAAAAGCAGAGGCGTGTGTGTGTGTCTGTGTATGGAGGGTGGAGAGTCCAGAGGAAGTAGGGCAGCGGATACTTGGTGCTGTTGGCAAGTAGACCAGTATAGGCACCAGTTATTGACCTATTTAGGTATTTTTGATTCAGTGGAACAGAAATTCAAAATAATAAGTGAAAACTTAACTTGCTAGCTGTTATCTTGGATTTTTCTGTCTTTCAGTGCCTGGCAGAGCTCTAAGCAGGTACATCTTTTTTTACTGTGTTGCAGTAAATCATAGATTCATACGTTTGTGGAGTACAAGAGCCTTAGGAAAACAACAGACTGAGCTGTGCTGGTCCCTGAAGAGTTCTGGCACGGTCATCGGTGCGAATTTGCTTTCCTGCTGTCTCCACAGTGGAGCTGGAGTCCCATTCTAAACTATATGCAATAAACTCACTGGGGCAGAGGTCCTTGGAGCCCTGCTTCTTCCTGTGGTTATGTGTGAAGCACTGATGGGTTGACTGTCTTGCTGCACTTTCCCTTAGGAAAGCCTTGCCCTTCCCAGCATCTAACACAACAGGGCTTCTATGCCTCTGCAGCTTCTGGCCATGTTGTCTTGTTATGTCACTCTTCATCATTGACTAAAAAAACCTAAAAATCATTATTTATTTTCCAACTTGTTTCCTTTCTTCATCCAGGCCTCAGAAGCTGGGGGTGGATCTGGTGGTGATTACGGGGATTCGCCCCCAACTAGTCCCCACAGCACCCACTGGTATAAATGAAGACCGACTCTGTGGTCGGTTGTCTGGTCTAGGCCAGAGACCAGAGCTTTCCATGAGAACTGGAGTAGGGACTGATCAGGCAGCTGCATCCACCGGTATGTGTATTAGCTAGAACAGCTGATGGAACAAATCTGACCCTGCTTTTGCTTTGCTGTGGTGACACAAGAGTCAAGTCTGAGGTCACCCCAGGCAAGGTTTCTCAGAGCACTCCCCGAATAGACCACTGGAGTCTAGACCATGGCCACAGGGTGAGTCACAGGATGTGTAATCCAACCTTGAATTCCTGATGCTTGTGCAGTGGACAGTGTGTTTAGATGTACATAGGGGTCATGACGGCCAGCTCATCTAGGCTACCAGGGGCCATCCACTGCCTCATCAGATGGAAAGCAGTACAGGTTGGACAATCCTCCTGGCCAAGCTCTACAGCATGTGGCTGTGGATACACTAAGGTGCACTTTGTTCAACCAGTTGATTTTCTCGACTCCGGTGCAATGAAACTAACAACTTCTCAGAAATATCAAAACTACTCGGTTAATACCCTCAGAACACTCTTTGCCTGCCCAGCGCCTCTAAGGTGTCCTCAGATGACCATAACCCAACCCCAGATACTGATGTAGTTTGACAGCATGGAGCCGGCCGTCCGTTCTCCCTCTGCCTCCTCCCCTGCAGACATAGGAGGAAAAACCAAAAATGAAACATTTGTCCTACCCACCTTATTATGTACCTAACCCCCTCACCCTAATCAGAAGTATATACATGGGCATACATTCGTCTTAAGTATGAAAAGAATATTAGAAAGAAAATAAGACAGGAGGTGGGTTTGAAGTCGGGTGACTAATTTTTGCCCTTGTTAGCTGTGCCATCTTGTTCAGGCTCTCTCACTGTGGCCTCTGGCTTGTGAGCTGGTGAAACAGCTGATTGTCACTAACACCCAGGGAGAGGACCTGGCCTCAGTGAAGGTTTCAGGGACAGAGGGAGGTGCCTGTGGCGGCTCGCACTGCCATCACTCACTCCGTGTCTTGGACTGTCGTTACACACGCAAGCCCTGTGAAATGCTATTCGTGGTTTCCTCCCTTGCCCCGACTCCAAGGATTGCCTTCTGATACCATGTCCCTTTTGTACACTTGGTTCTTAGCCAAAATTCAGGTGGTCATAAAATTACTGAAGCCAGGCTATCTTTTACTTCCCCAGACAACAATTTCACATGTCCGGTGATAACAGATTTAAAGTTTATCAGTAGAGGTAAAAGCAGATGGCAAAAATAGTTAAGTCTGTCTCAACACTGAGGGAATGGAGGCACAGCGAGATGGCCACGGAGGACCTGGATCTGACTCTGCTCTTCCTGTGACACCTCCTCCTCAGGCTGTCTGGATTCTGTGTGTGTGTGTGTGGGGTGGGGATTTGTGCGGAAGCAGCCCTCAGGGTCTGGCAGCCTCTTGCCCTGGTGGCTGGGCTGAGCTGGAGGATGAGCTGCAAAGCTGTTTAAATCACTAGGGATTTGTATAGGAGCATCGCATCTAACTTTTCCCACAAAACACATCAGTCCCTTTGTTACAGTTCCTTTAAGAGCGGAGCTTTGGCAGAAGCTTGTAGAGTAGGTATAGAAAAGCTGTGTTTTTCTCCCCCTACTGGGACTAACCCTACTGGTCTGAAAGATGTTGATACATTACTCTCTGAACTTCTGCCTTCCATCAGCCGCAGTGCGCTAATTAACAATGCTTTCCGTAAGAAATAGTGTTTATTTCTTACAGGAGTAGATTTCAAGCGTGAATGCAGTTTGCAAATGAGGCATTAGCTGAGCTTTTACAGACTTAACTGTGCAGGCAATGGAATAAGCCTCCCAAGTTACGATTGTCTTTACAACCCACAAGTTAAAACTGGGAAGGGAAAAAAAAAAAAAACAACCCGTGAAAGCTTGATATGTGAAAGTCTACTCAACCTCAGTAGTTGAATCTGAAGGTGAGAATCAAGGAAACGAAAATTCAAACCTGATGTATTAATAAAAATTAAGCCGTAATTACTGTTTTTTTTTCCCTTTGAAAATCGATTCCAACTCACCGTTGACTGCACACCAGTAGCACCCGCACTGTGTTTCAAAGACTTTGAGCGCTGCCTTTCACGAAGCACTTCATGTTTGATTTCAGCTGTTTTGTAAGCTTCCAGGCTTTTGTACTCTTAAACCAAACCCATCGTTTTTTTGGGTTTTCTCTCCTGAGCATTTTAAGTTCTCTGTTAGACCGCCTTGTGCCGAGGGTTACATCATCAGCCAGCTGTGCTGGTCCCTGTTACCGTATCAGATAAGGATTTCTAACTCCCTGTCTGCATTCGCAAGATCATATCCTGTATTAGATTAGCCTCTTCTTTAAACAGAAATTTTGTAGTGCCTCATGGGTCCCATGAAAGAAAATCATGCCGCAGCAAATGAAGAAGATAATATTTTACAGGGACATTTTAGCCAGGCTTAGTTGATCCTTTTGATTTGGAAAACTCAGATCTCGCCTTTAGGGCTGTTATTCCATCGTTTAAAAAAAAAAAGAATTTAGGAAATCAGGAGCGTAAGAAGCACTTTTCAGCGAAGTCACAGCTATTTACTCTACATTGGAAGGCATTTTTCTACTCACCAGATTTTCCGTCGTGTCTGGTCTCTGTGGGCAAACCGGATCAGCAGCTGAGTGTAACATCTGATGTTGAGGGAAAGACACTTTGCTTTCTGCCTGAACTGCTCCTGTTGACCAGTGGGAAATGCTGCATTAGCTCTCAAACCAAAACATTCTGAAGTGCTCTCTGAAATGTTGACATCGTGCCAGATGCTTGAATGCCAAGTGCTACAGATGTCCAGTAGTCTTTGGAGCCTAGATAGAATGCACGCCTGCGTAGGTTGGATCTGATTCGAGTTTACTGAGGGTTACCAGTGATCAAGGGCTGGCCAAACAGCAAATAGTGCAAAGGCTGGCACGGGGAGGGCAGGGAGCCTGAGCCAGAGAGAGCCACATCCAGCTGGAGGCCAGATCGCTCCTAGGCCTGACTGTGACGCCGTGGTAATGATAGCTCCTGTGCTCTGATTTATTGGAAAACCATTGCATGCTGGCACACAACAGTCGTGCAAGGTGCAAGGCTGAAGGACAAGCAGCGTAACGATGAATCAGAAACAGGAAGAGTTAAGCATGAATAACACAAAGTGGAGAAAACAGTGGGGACCAAACTTGACTCCTGGCACACAGCCAGACACAAGAGTCCAGAACAACTCCCTGAGTCCATTTTTATTCTGTGTGCAAAAATCAAACATGACATAAATGTGAGGGCTGCAGATTATTTGCAGGTTACAACAACCATCCTACGCAGATACATTCATGGATTAATGGTTTAATTGCTCTCCTAGATTTTGGGGCAGTCTGGTGCTAGGTGAATGACCTTGCCCTTAGCCTGTGATTCCCTGGATCCATAGCCTTTAAGACAACGAGGCCTAGATCTATTTTCGAAATATCTAGGCCTACTCATGGCAGCGAATTCCACCCTGATCTTGTTCCCATCAATAACCATGAGAGAGCTAAGGAACCTGGACCTCGCCAAGAAGGAGGGGTCACCTGCCAGACAGACAGTGGTCTGCTCCTAGAAGCCTTAGCGAAGCCGGAATCAGGCTAGAGCCAGTGCTCAAGATCCCAACAGAAAGTGTGCAAGATGATTCACGTGGCTTCCATGAAATCCTTACAAATTGTTAGAAAAGTAAATAACATCAGGAGATAAATTAGACCTGCAGCTGTGCCTGCTTTCAGTACCCCCAGGCAGGAAGATTCTGGAAATTGGTATTAGCCTGGTGTGTGGCTTAGTGCAGGGCAGGGGCTGTGTCGAAAGGGGAGAGATACCAACAGGATGTGGAGACAACCTCGTGCCGTGACTTATACTTGCATCCCAGCTCTAGGGGGCCTCTGATGGCTCAAGGTGCCTGGGCAACTCCAGCTTTCATCCTGACACGTTCCCTGGCTCTCTGTAGGAGGCCACAACCTGACTCTCCCTCACTTCCATTCACTGAATTCTTCCAGTTCTGAGCCTGTACCGGCCACTTATGTGTATAACAGCTTTTCCTCCTCTGTGTTGGAGAGACATGCTCGTTGTTGATCATGTTTAATGTCCTTATTGGGGGGGAAAAATAGAACAGGAACCTTCAAAGGTTTTCCTTAGCTACAAATCTCCTCTATCAAGCAACTATTCAAAAAACCTTCACCTCTTTACTTATCCTTGTCGAAAAATTCCGCCTGCTGGTCCCCTGTCGGTGCTGCACACTGACGTACCAGAGCCCAGGAATGCTCTTGCAGGAATCGGAGACAGGAGTCGCATACAGCCACTTCCGATATGGGACGCGACTGTCCAGCTGACACCCTAACTGCTAGGCTCCATGCTCCTCATATTTGTCTTTTTGTGACTGGCTTATTTCCCTTAGCAGATTTATTCAGACTGTGGCGTGTGTTGGAATTTCATTCTCTTGTCAGACCTGGTGGTGGTCTGTTACTCTTTCTCCCCATCTCCATGGTCGTGTAGGTTGTTGCCAGCTTTTGGCCATTGAGAATGCTGCTGCTCTGAGAGTGGGTGTGGAAGTGTTTGCTTAAGACTCTGCACCAAGGTTCCTCTTATCTACGGCTCCACTTCTCTATTCTAACGACCAAACTAAACAATGGCCTGAAAATATAAGTCGAACAAATTCTCAGTTTGTAAGTGTTCAATGACATTCTATCCTGAAAAAATATGAAATAATTAATTTTATCTTGAACAAGAAAATCTTTGCAGCCACAGTTTTACCTTTTAAAAATGCATTAAGACAATTTTGGAACTGTGCAGTAAATTTGCCCGGATTGGATTTGTGCTCAGCTCCATGGAAATCCTGATTTAATAATGTGGTTCAGTCCATTCTGTGGGAATCTCCATTGTGCCTGCCACCAACCCTCACCCACTACACTCAGCATCCCTGAAAACCCATCCAGACTTCTCGCTTTGAAGGAGCTTATCTTTACTCTGAGAGTGAATGAATGCTTTTCTCCTGAGAATTCCTATAATATGGCTCGATTTGAATTCCAAGCAGGCTGTTGATACTTTCAGGCCAGCCTCCTGGGCTTGGACCAACATCCCTCTGCTTAATGGGCTGTGAACGTTTGATTCCTAAGACCCTACCTTCACAGTAGAAGTTATGAAAAAGGTGATTTGCATTTCTCCAATGGGGACTCCACATTGTTTTTCTCCTAGCCCTTTTTGCTGCTTGTTACACTTTTTTTAAAATTGAGATTGTTTTGTTTTTACTAGTAATTGAAATTAAATTGATCCACAATTTTGATCAAAGTGTGATTTATGTACATTAGGCAAACAAAATATTTTATAGAGATCAGAGTTAAAAAATTTGAATATCCCCTATTCAAACTGCATATAAACATTAGATTTTACGGTGTTAGTATCATATTTTGAGCCCAGTTCTTTGCCAAAAAGGATGGCCAAAGAAATATGTAAATCTCCGTGTATGTATGTCATTCATTTTTGCTGGAGAGGTACTCCATAGTGTGTGTTGGCAAACATTTGTTGTTTATACTTTGCTCCTAGATTTCATCGCAAATCTTTCCATGAATTAGGAAGTGCATGCTTTTGACTGCTTGCAATTCATGTTAATGTGTAAGTCACACAACAAAATATGTGTACTTGTAAATTGTAGCTTTTCTTCCTCCTTGAAACAATCCTGTCATTGAAAAACTTAGCCAGGGCCTGGAACATGATGGTATAGTGGCTAAAGCATTGCCTTGCAACTGCTGGGATCCCATATCGTTGCTGGTTTGTGTCCTGGCTGCTCCACTTCCCATGCAGCTCCCTGCTTGTGGCCTGAGATAGCAATAGAGGATGGCCCAAAGCCTTGGGACCCTGCACCCACATGGGAGACCTGGAAGAAGCTCTTTTATCTGACTTTAGATCAGCTCATTTCTGGCTGTTGTGGCTACGTGGAGAGTGAATAAGCAAATGGAAGATTTATTTTTGTTTCTCTCTGTGGATCTGACTTTCCAATACTAATAAATAAATGTTTAAGCAAAAAAAAAAAAAAAAAAGAAAGGAAAAAGAAAAACTGATATGTTGCTTCATGGCTCTCTTCTGTAGTGTCTCTGGAATTCTTGTTACATTTGCTAAGCAAGGCCCTTGGTCATGTTCATCTCAACGGGTAAACAGGCGTTAGAGTGTAGCATCCTCCGAGTCACGAATCCTCAGGCTGAGGCTTGGCAGGCAGAAGTGACAGGAGAACCATCAACCTGAGAACAGAGCTAACAGCCACATAACTGAAGGAGTGTGGGCGAAGACAGCAATTTTTTCAATTCTATGTGAAAATGTTGCTTTTGAATTTTTATAAATCAAGAATTGGTAAGCTTTCTGTGTGGTAAACACTATGGGGCAAATATCCATGGTAGATTTTTGCATTTCTCCAAAGAAGGGGGCTGGGAGCACCTAGATAAGGAGCACCCAGCAGAGTGGAGCGCCAGTCCCTGGCAGTTAGATATTACTTGGAATCAAGTGTGTGCAAGTTGAAGACCCACTGGCTCTGTGCCTTTCTGGCTGCCCCGTGTCTGTTGCAGACATGAATCTCTGAGCACAACCCCTTCCCTTGCAGACTCTTGCTCCTCTGCCACAGTTTTCAGTCAGTCTTATTACAGCTGGCCCACTGATATGGAACCTTTGACCTTTGGCTGGAGTATCATCCAGGACAAAGTGAAGGAAAAAAATCACAGCAGTGTGGGCTCTAGAATGGAGCTGAAAGTAGGGTTGAACTACATGGTGAGTGCTCCATAGTGTGGTCCATAGTGGTAAATGTGCATACAGAAGTCAGCCCTGCCTCTTGTGAGCAGGGGAATTTGGGCTACTTGGGAAGTCTCTGTAAGTCTGTGTTTACGCCGCTGTTAAACAAGCAGCCTTAAATGGTGTGGTCCATACTATCTCCTTAAAGTGGTGGAGCTGTTTAAATGGCAGTGGCCATTTAAATGGCCCAGCTGTAATGAAGCACCGGTGCCCCACGTTGGAGTTTCTGGGTTCATTGCCCAGCTTTAGTTTCTGTTACCAGCTTTGTGGTTGTGATGATCCAAGCAGCTGGGCTCCTTCCACCCATATGGAAGACCTCGATTGCATGTCTGGCTTTCTTTCTGGCCCTGGCCTAGCCCTGGCTGTTGCTGGCATTTGGAAAATGAATCCAACGAAGAGGAATCTACTCACTTTGTAGCGTTCTCTCTCTCTCTCTCTCTCTCTCTCTCTCCCCCTCCCTCCCTCTCCTTATTGTACTTCTCAAATGAAGAGAATTTTTTTTTGAAAAAGGTAATTGGAATATGTAAATAAAGTAATGATCACTATAGTGACCAAGTAGATGGTCAGTAAGTGACAGTGATCCTTGTAAATATGGAAAATTTTTAAAGTTGTATTAATGCTTGGCTAAATGGTAGAAGTACTACTGTTGTACTCAGGTTTGAACAGGTGTTATGGAATTGTCCAAATTAGAGCAGTTCTTGGGCTCAAGTCACCACGATTATGGGAAAGCTTTCTCAGATGACACAGCAACACATAGCCTAAGCAAATTATTTCTACATTGTAGTCATATTGTCAGGAGGAGCAAGTTCTTGTAGTATCTTGTTGAGCACAAGCCTAGGACTAGGGCATGTAGATGATGCTGTGTTTCACAGGGTGCTTTTCTGTTTCTCCTGTTGTAGTGGCC